GCGAGAAACTGCTAATCATTTAGTGACATATATATTTCAAAGTATCATATTGCTATTTTTTTATGCAACCATTGCATTATGGTACCTCTGCAATTCTCTTTTGTAAGGGTGGGATCTGTTTTCATCAAATTTACTCTTTTAAGAGCATGGAAATCTTCCATCCAGGCTGAACATCCTTGAACTACCACCTATTGCATACTGAATTACATCGCTTAAGTATATTGTTCATAGCAAAACAGTTATTTTTTCTGCCTAAAATAGCGTAAACAACCTAACCACTAATTACATAAAATCTTAATTGCTTCAAACCTGTCTCAAGAGCTCTTTGACGATAAACATATTATTAATCTATCCACCCTGAAAGGCAAAACTGCTGGATTGCTTCTGTAGCATTATAAAGACCCGCATACCATACTCTACCAGAAATCCTGATTATGTAATAGTCCACTTAATGCAATCATAATGGTAAATGCAAAAAAAATCTAAGTCTGATTCATATCAGAATTGTTCTGCTAGAGACACGTGATTTGAGAGTTGTTAGCATGTAAAGTTTCAAGGAGATATAAACAGTATAAGGAAAATGCCCTTAACTGATAATTTTGTTAATTTGTTAGGCCACTCTGATATTGTATAAGCTGCAAAAATATGTTATTGGTAGTGTTTCTTATTTTTGTTCGTTTGTACCTATTTCTTTTGGTTGCACCCTTTAGCTACCTGACCAAAAACATACATAATTATTATAATTTTTTTTATTTCTTTAATTTATAAATAAATTATATTGTATAATTACGTATTATATATTAATTTGCCTATATATTACAAATATTAAAATATATAAGTTATAATATAAATACTTAAAAAAATATATTAAATTTTTAAATATTAAATTCCATAAATTAAGATAACTTTTTATCAAGATAACAACAACAAGATACAAACTGGATAGTAGCAGTTCGAATTGTAAAAAGAGTCCTGCTCAAATGACTAAAACATTCAGGTGTTCAAAAGGCCTGGATCAAGTCCATTTTCAGGTCTTTCCTTGACCTGTTTTATTCCCTTTACAGAGCAGATCTGTGAATAAGGCTGTCAGCTTCTGTTTTCACATTAGTCTTTAACACTTTTACCTCTAGGGATTTGTGTATTTAATATTTTGTACATTTAATTACATGCACAACCTTGTGAAACTTTTGAGTCATCACTTCATGACTAGTTAAAGTGCACAAAGTAGAGCGACTAATTTCCTGATGTTCAATTTTGTATCTTTTCTGCGTCATTGTTTGTCTTTTTGTAGCACACTTCACTGACCGTCCTCTCCGCTGTGAACTCCCTTTACAGATGCTCCTCCTTAGTTATATTATTGACTGACTTGTTTTTTAATTAGACAAAAGGAACATTTGCTTAGATGGAATGTGTAAAGAACAGTGGAACATGTAATGGACACGTAAATGCAATGTCTGGGAATTTTCTTTGATGGCTCTGAGAAATAGAGTCTCTCTGTCTTCTCGCTCTCAGCCAGACTGCAGCATTTGAGCCTGTGGATGTGTTAGGAAATATTTAGTAAAGATCAATAATGGCATCCGCCATGTTGGAGCTCCCTGTTGCTGCAGAGGCTTGAGTGGATCAATGCCTAACTCAGAGCCCTGCAGGCCCCATAGCTGTGAGGCGGACATGCCCCTGCTACACAAGCTTGTCCTCATGAATATATGGGTATTTACTATAAATTTGGTTTGAGGATGTTTTGACTATTTAAATTATATGGGGACCGTGATTCATTTTACTCCAGAGAATATTTATTCAGTCTGGGGTTATTTTTGAAAGTCAATTGCTGTATAGACATTTAGGTTAAAGCCTTTGCTACAAAACAACAGCCACTGAAACCACCATCTGTGTACTAAAGGAATATTGATTTAGCACCCTTTAGGCATGTTGTCACAATAGGAACCTATTATTTATTGGTCTTGATTTGAAATATGATCTACAATGGCACTTTGATAAGTTAAAATATTATATATATATATATATATATATATATATATATATATATATATATATATATATATATATATATATATATATATATGCTTGGATACAGCACTCTGTGAACAGCCAGCTTCTTTGGCAATGAATGTTTGTGGCTCCTTGTGAAGGGTGTCAATGATTGTCTTCTGGACAACTGTCTGATCAGCAGTCTTCCCCATGATTGTGTAGCTTAGTGAACCAAACTGAGAGACCATTTTGAAGGCTCAGGAAACCTTTGCAGGTGTTTTGAGTTGATTAGCTGATTGGCATGTCACCATATTCTAATTTGTTGAGATAGTGAATTGGTGGGTTTTTGTTAAATGTGAGCCAAAATCATCACAATTAAAAGAACCAAAGACTTAAACTATTTCAGTCTGTGTGCATTGAATTTATTTAATACACGAGTTTCACAATTTGAGTTGAATTACTGAAATAAATGAACTTTTCCACGACATTCTAATTTATTGAGATGCACCTCTAGTTACTTTTTATGGAAAGTAATGCATTACGTTACTTTTGCATTACTTTTTCTCTTCTGGCTTGGCCTCATTTTTATCTATTCAGAGACAAAAATGAAAAAAGAAACACAAATGTTATATTTATCTAAAGTCATTTTTGCGTATTGGTATGGTTGATCACTGAAGGTCAGCAGCAAAGGTTACTGGTTAATAAAATGAAATTAAATACATAGAGGATATTTGTGTTATTTAACATGTTTGCGTCATGTCCTGAGTTTGCATTTGACTGTTTTTATTCATTTTGAGGAATACCAAATCTATTTTTGTGCAAGTGAGATGAGTAAATACATGTTGACATTTAGTCTAGAATGACAGTAACATCATGTTCACACAGCGCACACAACGCCTCTGTGCCTTCTCTCAACATGGGGACAGGAGAGCTGTCAGTCAGTACATTTGAAAACAAAGTAACTGGCGTTACTTATTTGAAAAAGTATAACTCAGATGTTTTCTTAACATTAAAAAGTAATGCATTACTTTACTAGTTTCTTGAAAAAAGTAATCTGATTACGTAACTCGCAGTCTTGTAATGCGTTACCCCCAACACTGTGTGTGTATACTGTATATATATATATATATATATATATATATATAGTGTTTTAATAATTATTTATCATAAATTATCTTTATATATATACAAAT